GAAATAGAGTCCAGTGAATCAGAAAAGAAAGGAAAGGAAAGTTTATTCTGCGTCCCCGGGAGACCCACGTACCCCAAAGACAGGGCACGTGGATTCACACCAACATGGAGGGGGGCGCTTTTTTTATACTGCGGTTGGGTGAGGGCGGGGGCCTGAACTGAGGAAGTGTCTGCAGCAGGGATCATCACACATTCAACTGGAGGGAGTCTTAGCCGCAGGGGGTGGGCGGCACATTCAGGAATGGGTCAGTATCTTGTGCGGGGATCTCTGTGAACTTCAAGGAGAAGCAGGTATCTGTGTCTGGCACGCTGACCCGTGAGAGATTCCAGATCTGTGAGAAATTCCAGAGGAAGTCCATTGTCTCATCCCATGTCCGCATGTATCCGATCCCGGGCTCCCTCCGACCTAACACGAACCTGGGACCTTTCAGTCCGCAAGCTGACGCTCTATCCACTGAGCCAAACCAGTTTCAGCTATTTTTTTTAATTTTATCATTATTATTATTATTATTATTACTATTACTGTTATTATTAGTAAATCCCCAGCCCCCAGCCCCTCCCCTTTGGCAACCATCAGCTTGTTCTCTGTCTCCCTGTGGGCCCCTTTCTGTTTTGTTTTGTTTGTTTTGTTGTTTCTTAGATTCCACATGTAAGTGAGATCATGTGGTGTTTGTCTCTCTCTCTCTGATGTATTTCATTTAGCATAACACCCTCTAGGTCCATCCATGTTCTCACAAGTGGCAAGATTTCTTTTTTTTTTTTGGCTGAGTAATATTCCGTTAACTACATGCCCCACATCTGTATCCACTCATCTGTGGGTGGACACCGGGGTCTTTCATGTCTCGGCTGCTGCTAATAACGCTGCAATGGCACAGGGGCACACCTTTCTCTTCGAATTCTTGTGTTGGATTTCTCCAGATGAAAGCCCAGAAGAGGGATGGCTGGGTCGTGTGGTAGTTCCAGGTGTAATTTTTTGAGGAATTGCCATACTGATTTCCATGGTGGCGGCACCAGTCTGCATTCCCCCCACCAGTGCACCAGGGTCCCTTTCCCCACATTCTCGCCAGCATCTGTTGTTGGGTGACTTATTGATGAGCGGCCTGCAGCCCTTGAAACCTATAGGGGAGCACTCAGGAGTCCCAGTGCCCAGTCATCCCCCCAGGAATTCCAGTTCTCATTTAGCTGGGGTTTTAGTTTATTACTAGAGGCCCAGTGCATGAAATTAATGCACTGGGAGGGTCCCTAGCAGCTGCTGGCTGCCAGCTGGGTACTCCCTCCCTTCCCTCGGCTGGCCCTGCCCCCTGGTTGAACTCCTGGATGAATTCCCGGTCGAGGGGACAATTTTCATACTATGCTTTTATTACATGGGATTTTTTCATTTTTAATATACATATTTTTATTGATTTCAGAGAGGAAGGGAGAGAGAGAAACATCAATGATGAGAATCATTGATCAGCTGCCTCCTGCACGCCCCACACTGGGAATTGAGCCCACAACCCAGGCATGCACCCTGACCAGGAATTGAACCATGATCTCCTGGTTCATAGGTCAATGCTCAACCACTGAGCCACACCCGGTCAGAATAGCTGGGGTTTTAGAAGCTTGGAAGCTGTTCTGGGAATTACCTAGGGCAGTGGTCGGCAAACTCATTAGTCAACAGAGCCAAATATCAACAGTACAATGATTGAAATTTCTTTTGAGAGCCAAATATTTTAAACTTAAACTATATAGGTAGGTACATTGTTATTAACTTAATTAGGGTATTCCTAAGGCTTAGGAAGAGCCACACTCAAGGGGCCAAAGAGCCGCATGTGGCTTGCGAGCCACAGTTTGCCGACCATGGGCCTAGGGGGCTTGTTGAATGCAGCTTCCTGGGTACCAGCCTCAGGGATCGGCTCTGTCGAGGCCAGGGCACAGGAGTGGGTTTATAACATGAGACTCAGATGCAGGCAGGCTGGGGGGTCACACATGAAGTCACGGGCTGGTACCTCTTAGAAACCGGGGCTCAGAGCGCCTGCCGTGGGCCCGCAGATGGGAAGGTCTAAGGGTGTCTCTCTCGCCAGGTGGGCGTGGTCGGGGAGGGAGAGGAGTGGCTACTGGTTCACCAGCTCGCCAACGAGCTCGACGCTCGCTCCATGGAGGTGCCCGACCTCAACCTCTTCATCTACTACAGGTAATGGGGCCGGCAGGGGGA